AGACAGTTCTCCACATAACTTGGTCCGTCGTTTTGGCCCCGTGAAAGCGACAGAAGTGATCAGCTTCCAACTGCCGCACCAGAAGCTGGCCAGAAAGAGAAAGCAAAAAAATGATTCTTCTGACAACTGGAAACATTCGTACGTGTCAGCTGGTCGAAATTTACCGACTGTACCCGAAAGTAAGATGAGTTGCTCAGGGTGTGGTGCTAATTTTCAGTGTCAGGATCCATCTCTTCCCGGCTTCCTGCCCCCCGACCATTTCGCTCATGCATCCCTGCAGTCTCCGTTATGTCGCAGATGTTATCTTCTTAAGTACCACAATTTTCTGCTGAACGTCAATGTGTCGCGGGTAGACTTCGAACATATGCTTGGATATCTGAAGATGTTGCAGGAAGTGTTGGTTATTTTGCTGGTAGACGTGCTCGACTTTCCATCTTCGCTCTATCCCAGGCTTTCTGACATCATCGGACCGGCGAAGCCCCTGATTCTTGTCGGAAACAAGGTACACCTATTAAAGCTTTGATTGGTTATACTCTTGTTACCCAGTTGAAAGCGAATCATCTGACCATAGCTTTTTTTTTCAGTGTAACTTTCTTCAAGCTATTCATTTAAGAGAAGGGAAAAAAGTGAGGCGTGGCCAGATGAGAACGTATTATTTCAGGATCGGCAACGTTGGAAGTTCTCTCTGACGCATCTACCTCCGCGACCGTAAAGGGGAAGCGGCGATGGAAGATGAAGATGTTTTATGGTCCGAAATTCTGTGACGCTTGGAGCCAAAAGAGTGCCTGTGGTTCTCTGTTGTTTGGGTAGTGACGAGTTTGATAAGACTCTGCACGGATTGGACAAGCATTGTCAGTGAATAAGTTGAAAATAACTCAGTTAAAGATTTTACTGTTTCTAGTGAATTGAACTTCTCGTTATCTATATCACATAAGAAACGAAATGCGTTCATATGCTTACTAGACTGCGTAGTTCAAATGCTACTGGAGAATGGCTACCAAGCGAAGGCTGGATTTTGTTCCACGACCTCAAACGATTGTCTTCATCTGCCATCGCCCTTTTCTCCTTTCCGGTCGCGAAGGCAGACGCGCTGGACAGAGCTTTCAATTTTCCGATCCCGTGCCAGAGTCTGAGCTTCGGCAAAAGACAG